TCTATCCAATGCAATCTTCTGAATCAATGCCCCAAATAACCTCAGGAAGAGGTCTAATAACCATGACACCAAAAATGTTTTTTGTTGTTGGCCATAGTTATAGGTGCAAGTGTCCTCTCCTTTTGTCAGCCTGGCCACTCTACCTGCAGTCCATTGGCATAGACAGCTCCTGAGCCTCAATGATCAGCCACCAGTTAGTGACATAGACCTGATCTTAACCTTCAAGGTAAATGTGGAGATTAGAAAAGTTACATGCGAGAGTCAGGCAGTGCGAAAGTAATCTTTCGGGGTTCTCTAACACCTCCTTTTGTGGACAGAGCCCTAGAAGAGCCCTTTGAAAGAATAAGTGTTACTCCATAGTTGTCCTCATCATAACCAGTTGGTGTGATAAAATGAAACCCCCTGGCTTGTACCAATCTTTTGTCATCCCTGTATATTTCTATATTTTTTTCAAAAACAGCTGTAAAATCCCTCTTTAGTAATACTTAAAAAAACAAGAGCCAACCATTAGGGCCTGTTTTTAATTGGGTAGGAATTATTGCTTTTTGGAAAGAACTATTTTTTTTTCATTAGAAATATAAATATAATTAAATCATCATTTAAGTAGGTATAAGTAGGCTAGGCTGTAGAATTACAGACAACAAATTAGTATTACATAATTAATAGGAAAACAATCTTTATTTTCCACAGAAGTGATGGGAGAAGAAAGGCGGCCTAACTCCAAAAGTAAAGGGTACAGAGTTTTAGGTATTATTTTATATTTCACCTTTCTCCAAAAACTAACTCAAGGGGCTGTATGCTTTAAAAACCCAATGCAAAAAAACAAAAAAACCCAAAAACCCCTTTAGGACAAAGAAGAAAACACAATTAAATTAACCTTTTCTGTTAAAAAAACAGATTAAAAAAGAAGTAAAACACGGCATTAAAAAGTAGTTTTTAAAATAATAAAATAAAAACGCTCGTATGATGCTGTTTATTTATACCCCTTTTTCTCTCCTCAGAGTAGACTAACGGCAGCTTGCACTAAAAGCATTTCAACACAATTTTAAATCCACATATATACCAACATTAAAACAGAATTAAACATCAATGATATTTTTTTTAAAAACTTAAAATCCACACACACACACACACACATATATATAAAGACACATACACACACACACACACACTCACACACAATTAAAAGTTGTCTGCCCTAAAATATAAAAAATGATTCCTTAACATGAAAAGTCCTGGTGGTGCAGTGGGTTGAACTGCTGAACTTGCTGACCAAAAGGTCACAGGTTCAAATATGGGAAGTGGCTTGAGCTCCTGCTGTTAGCCCCAGCTTCTGCCAACCTAGCAGTTCGAAAACATGCAAATGTGAGAAGATCAATAGGTAGTAAAGATTTTTCTATTCATTTCTACTCTTTTCTGTTCATTTCTACTCAAGATTGCTGGATGACCTACATTACCAGCTGCACATAAGGCTTTTCTTCAACACACACACATGGGATGTGGCTAAGATCCGCTTGCTGAGTAACAAAACTGCCTGGGAAAACAAGACATGGGGAAGGGGGATTACCTGTATTTTCCCAGGTGGGGTGTCCCTGTTTTGCAACCCCTTGAAGCTGATGTCATATGAAGTGTGGAGCCCCATGGGAAGGAACAGTACTAGTGATATAGGGCCCGAGGTAAGACAACCTTTCAAGCATCTTTGAACAAAACAAGACTGAAATAAATGTAAGTTCTTACACCAAACAACATACATGAACACAGAACATAATTTTGCCTCTTAGTATCCAAATATTTTCCACCTTCTCTCCTTACTGCCATCTTTAAGAATAAATGAAAACACTTCCAACCAGCATTTCACTGGGACTTATATTCATATAATACCCTTTGGAAGAAAATGTTAACCTAAAATGTTTAACCGAACCCGTTCTCCATAGAGGTTTTTTCCCCTTGTTTGCTTTTCTCATTCGCTGTATTAATTTCAAATCAATCAACTAGTGGTTGCATAACAGTTGTTTATAATTTTTGTCCCGTCAGCCCTGAAATGAATGTGTAGCCTGCCAACATTACGCAAAGGAAACATTTCCCTTAATTGGGGATGGAGAAGGGGTCCATGTTTCGAAGACATTCTTTCAAAAATACTCCACTGCCCATTATGCAGCTGTGCTTCCCAATCCCTGGACTTTCTTATGCAATACGTAGTCTGTTTACAGGGGATAAAAATAGTTGTAATTTGGATCTTTTTAAAAAAGGATGCCACAATCCAGTTGATGTATTACAAGATTCCTTATTTGGGTGTGGTTACTGGTTTCCCAATGTATCTGTGGTTAAAAATACCCACTGCAAGTAGATGACTGCATTAAAAAAACCAGATAGCATCTTTAATATTCATGTCATGGACACAGAGTCAAACCATGCTGGGAAGCTCTAAACTGAAGCACGGTGGGGTTTAAGGGTTTGCTCTAATTGTCATGTCACATTCACTGATTCTTAGTTCAAACCACACCTTAAGCCCAAACCTGATGCATTCTTCAGAAGTACCTCATCAGATGGTTTGAGGCACGGCAATTTCCAAAGTAAGAAATAATCCCCACATTTTATTCAGGGATTGGCAAATGCCCAACAACCCCCCCCCCCACAAAAAAACATACCAACCTTATTTTGAAATGTAAAGTTTGCTAGAATACTCACTTAAGAGAATGTGAAATGTGACCTCTCCATTGTTTGAGTTGCTGAAAGAACCTAACCCCAACCTATGAGAGGAGGAAAAGCAAAACCACTTTTGATCTGTATAGATTTACTGCAAAGCTGTAACTCCTTTACATGTTATGTAATTAATGAACATGAAGACACAGCTATGTCAGTCCAGATGGGTGCGCTGCAATCCACACTGGGTCCTATCCACGCTAGGAGAAAAGGGGGATATACATTATTATTAAATATAATAAAAGTTGCTTCTTTTTTCTGGGAAATGCTCGGTGAACTGGTAACTGCGTATGGGCTTTGAGTAGCTCTGGCGATGCCATAACTTTCAAGAAAGGTTTTACTAGCCACACAAGCAAGAACCACATGCATTTCCTTTGAGCCTGGGCCAATTCGTAGAACATCTAAGAATTAAGCTGAGAAAGAGAACTTCTATAAGCCATAGACTTCTACCAGCTTCATCCACTATGGGCAATAAGGGGTTATGGGTCTCAAAGTCCAAAGCAATGGGTGGGCTTCATGTTCCCTACTATTGGCATATATGAGGAGCTACCTGTTACAGCTGAAATGCTACTAGATTTGTAATGTGCCCCTCCCATCCCCTTTAGTGTCCCCCCATGCTTTGACCCCTCCTATCAAGTCTTTCCCCCTCGGTTCCATACCTGTTACATTAAACTGTTTTTTAATGATTTTTATTGCAAATTAGGTAACAAAAATCAAAGAAATAAAATTGAAAAGGTTTGCATTGGAAGTGGGGGAGCATTGAATCCAGAGAGAAATGGGAAATTTGGAGAGGTAGGGGAAGAGGAAAGGAATATAGAAGAAAAATGAAGAAAAAAAGAAAAAGAAAAAGGGAGGGGTAAAGAAAAGTATATTTGAGTTTCACAGGGAGTTTGCTTCCAGGTTCAACCTTGCTGAAGGACCACCTCTGCCTTAAACTCTTTTAGTCTTTGTAGCGTCAGTTTCTATTTTTTTCTCCCCCTGGGTCCTTGAGTTTCTTTAAATTCTTTTTTTATATAAATTCCTGTATTTTCCTTTTTTAAGAAATCCATAAAATTTCCCCAGTCTGTTACGTGGTTTTGTTGGTTGTTCTGTGCACATTTTTGGCTGAGGAGGTCCATATTCATGGTATCCTTCATTTTCAAAATCAATTTTTCCATAGTGGGTATTTTTGGTGTTTTCCATAATTGCGCCATAATTATTCTGGCTGTTGTTATAAGATAGAAGATCTTGTCCATGTTTTTATCCATTTTGAAATCTGTGATCCCAAGTAAAAAATATTCGGGCTTGAATGTATTGTCGAAGGCTTTCATGGCTGGAATCACTAGGTTTTTGTGGGTTTTTTCGGGCTATAGGGCCATGTTCTAGAGGCATTTCTCCTCACGTTTTGCCTGCATCTATGGCAAGCATCCTCAGAGGTAGTGAGGTCTGTTGGAATTAGGACAATGGGTTTATATATCTGTGGAATGGCTGGGATGGGGCAAAGAGCTCTTCTCTGCTGGAGCTAGGTGTGAATGTTTCAACTGACCACCTTCATTAGCATTTGAAGGCCTGGCTGAGCCTGGGAAAATCTTTTGTTGAGAGGTGTTAAGATGTGCCTGGTTGTTTCCTCTCTGCTGTTATTCAAATTTTAGGTGGATGATTGTTTCTATTTTTTTTATATAAATCTGATGCCATCCTTTAACTTTCTTACATTTCTACCACATGTGGACAAAGTCACATTAAACTGTTTTCTAATCTGTTTTCTAATAACTGTTTCAATGGGGAGCTGTGTTTCCCCTTCCCAGGGCGCTTGTGTCTCGCTTTGTGCTGTCAGTGACTGTAATAAAGTTTTGTATTGTATTGTAATAGGAAGAGAACTTGCCTTCTGCAGTGAAGCACGAGTTCTAATGTGCAGACTCTCTATTTGGGTTCACTAGACGAATGTGCAGAAACTTCAGCAAAGCTAAAACTGAACACCAACTGCCCAGTATGTTAGGCTCTTAGATCATATGTAGGTGAAAGGTATGAAATTACAGGGAGCATAATAAAATAGTATCTTTTTTAAAAAAAGCACAAGTCTTGTACTCCATTTCACCTCGTATTCACCCTGAAAGCCAAAGAGCCAAGGTAATGGCCTACATTCCAGACAGTCTACTTCTTACAACACTGAGTCTGTGAGGATGCAACCTGGCCTCGATCCATGTGTACAGAACGTTCCTCATCCGTCTTATCCACGGGAAGACTCACAAAGCTCTTGGTCTTGACTGAAAACCACAAACTTAGAAATATGGTTAAAATAACGACAGAGACATGTGTGCTTACTCCATAAAACATTAATATTTTAATGAAAAATCTTAGCATCATGTTTCTATCCAAAGACACTCAAAACTAGTTTTTCTTCCCGCTCATTTTGACTTCTGTGACCAATCTGGAGAAACTTTCTTTTCTTTTTTTGTTGAAAATTTTCAAGGCATTTTTTTTAAAGATTAAACAACCAGGCTAGCAAAAAAGGTACCCAATACATATTCTTCTTATATCAAACAAGCTAATATTTCAATACAAGGTAAACTATACAGAATATATACATGACACAGAGAATCACAAAAGCGAACACTACGGGCTCAGAACGGAGTTCGAAAAAACCATGATATTCACATTGATTACAAGAACTCTAGAAATGATTGTAACAGTGAAACGGCACTTTAGTTTACAAAAAGTCACAAAAATATATATATAGCCACCAAGAACTATGGGTTCCTGAAAAATACTAATAGCCAGATATAGTATATAAAATGCAAAGTGTATTTCAACATTAAAAAAAACCAAACCCAAAAAACATTATTTTTTCCATTAAGTCAATAAACATGCCAAGTAGCCTAGCTGTGGTCAGCACAGACAAGAAAAGCTCTATGAGATGCGGCTGGTGACTGAAGACTGGCACAGTTAACAGGGGGAGGGAGGTACAGGCGGAGGCTGGAAGGCCCTCTGAGGATTCAATCTGCACTTCCGGCTCCAGCTTTCCTCCCTCCCTTCCTTTCTTTTTGGGGATTGTACAACGGTCCACAGAGAGACAGACAGCACTGCAAGACTGGGACCTGGAAGCACACTCAACAGCTTCCACCGGCTGAGACTGGAGAGAGAATAAAAATGGTAGCATGCAGCAGCCGAAGAGGAGACAAACACACAGCACCATCCTTTTCTCTGAAGTCCTCTGATACCATACAGAAAACTTGACATACAAAACAACAAACCAGAGAGCTTTAAAACCACTTAAAATCTTGCATCTTAAAAATATCGGCTGTATTATTTATTATATCTGACCCCCCTTCCTGGCTAATTGCGACCTGCAAAGTCTTGTAGTATGGAAGAACGTAAGCTTGAGCCACACTTTTCTTAGGTCAATGGATTGACCCTCATTCTGTGTCTTCATTATAAGAAAAGGAAGCCTTGCCTTCTGCAGAAAGGCAACCAAGGAAGGGGAAAAACGGCATCTCTTTTGTATCAAACACTATCCAAACCTTTTCCGTTATGCCAATTTCTGCAGACTTTAAGAAACAGGCAGGGAATTTTTTGAAATCTAGCCCTCTTCTGTGTTGAGGCTGGTGAAGAAAAATCACTGATATGCCCTCCCACCCCACACAAAACTGGCTAAAGCCACTATTTTAAAAATTTGCAAATGCATCGTTTAAAAAAATACAATTTCAATCTCTTTTTGGGGACCTAGGGGCTATAGTTTTATAAAATATAATATATATATAATATATTTGCTACACTGGCACTGGTTGATGAACAAAAAAAAAATCACATTTACACTTTTCAGACAAAGGATAAGTGCCCAAACTGGGACGGTTCTGAAAGACATCACTGGCTCTGTGCGTTCTGCATCAGAACTGGGAATATCTATCGGCAACAAAGACGCCAAACTGATTTCCAAAAAATGCACTCAGGGGAAATTGAATGAGAAGCTGGTGACCGAATGCAAGCAAGATGGAACTGCCATTCTGAGGGATTGTGATTTCATCTCTCATGCACATATATTCTCCGCTAGGCCCATGGCAGTGGCAGACACTACCCCACACTTGGGCTCCTCTGTCTCAGCAGTGTGTGGAAACAGATGCTTTATATTTGAAAATGCTTTCTTTCATGACTGGGAAAGAGGCCATACAGCACATCCTGATTCCTGGGGCACTATATGACATATCTGGCTCAACCACTTGAGAAATTTGGATATGAAAACCCAAACATTCAAATAATTCTCTGAAGAAAGGAAGCCCATTATCATGTCGACAATTTGACAAAGCTGGAAAACACCTGACATTTAACCAGATTTAAAAGGATGGCCAACCTTTATGGGTTGGTAACACTATAACTCAGTCAGGTCACCTAGGTCTGGACCAGTTCAGGTCCTCTGGAAGTTATGCTTTGGGGAAACAATTGTTCTCTTTGGAGAGTCAAGGCTGGATACGCAATGGTCTGATGCCCAAAGTTGGGCAAGAGAAAGTGGCGATTCTATTGACTAGGTGCTAAAATGCTTTCCCACAGAACCCACACTTTGAGGGGGCTGACAGGTTTTGGTTTTTTTTTATTTTGGGAGGATAAAATGTGGGGTTCAAGCTTTTCAAGTTAAAACTGCCCAAGGTGTTCAATATCTTGGTTTTAGGGCTTGGATGTTCACCCATAAATGGTCTAAAGGAATTTGAAAAAATAAGAAAATTGATAAGATGGTTTTTATTAATGAAAGGATGCTCTTTTTGACTGAGAAGGAATAAGATCTTTGAAGAGATCTCCCAACAGGAAAAAGAATTCTGGACGACTCCTTTGCTTGAGTTTTAGAATTCTAAATTACCACAATCCATGAAGTTTTTGTACTGAGATGCAACTCAGTGGATGCCGTTTCAACGCAAACACTGATTATGTCTACATTTACATCTTATGAGCTCCCAATGATTTTATTTGTAGTATTTCAGTTTTAGTGTTTTTGTTAGTAGTATAATCTTCAGGAAGATACCGTATTTTAAATATCCTAAAACTCTGTTAATGTAGATCACCCGCTCTACATTTGCACATATCAAATGTACAATTTTCGAACTAACAAAGCATGCCCCCTGAATGGACCTTACACAAGATAAACTGCACTGTGTAGACAGAACAAACCCCTCTGTGCATACAAAAGCTATACAATACTATGTTAAGAATGAACATAAAAGTAACCGATATGTACCTTATACCAATTAATCTCATGAACGTCATGTGATTGCTACAAGATATTTGCATTTTGAAATCCGTTGCCTTAAATCAGTTCCATCCTGCATTTGAAAAAAAAAAATAGACAGTCCTTACAGGAATTATTGGAATGGTAATACCAATGTATATATAACCCAATTGCTAGCTTTGGGTTTTTGTTGAGTTTTTTTTTTTTTGCTCTAGTTACAAGACAGAACCATCGTCTGTCTTGAAAAGGAGGACACAACATCAGCATGGGTACCCCTTGCTGAAAATACTGAAGTACTTATCTGGAAGATTTTTTAAAATTCAAAATTAATGGGAAGAAGAAAAAAAAACCTTAAAGCTATTGAGCAAAATACCTACGTTTAAACTTCGTTAGTCATTCTGTGAAGCCCTTCACAATAGTAGTGGGAAGTACAAAAATCAGTTTCCTTAGATTTTGGTGGGTTTACTCTTGGCAGAAATATGTTTCTTCCAGAATGTCCACAGACTTCAGTATTAGTTGCATAATGTATCAGCCCTGTTACTTGGCCTCTGCAGCTATTCAACAATCCCTCCCCATCAGCCCTTTGTTGTTTTAGTCTTAGTTTAATGTTCATATGAAATTAAGGTTAAGTACCTTCTCAAGTAAGTTTCACACTTCCTAAAAAATGTTAATCTTGGGATACTTCAGGTTACAAGGAATGAGCAAAAAAATCAATTTAATTAAAATTCCTAAGCCTTACCCACACCGAAAGGCACTGACAACAGACCAAGAACTGGTGGGCCAACAAAATGTGCCATCTTATGTTGTACACGTTCCAAAAATGTAACAAGTGAAAATAAAATGGCAAAACATTCAGTTCATTACTTGTTGGAGTTGTGTATGTTGTTGGAGTAATGGCTTTTCAGAAACTGGCTTTGCAAGAGTATAAGAACTATTTTAGAATAGGAACATTTTATCATTTTTAACAGGCCTTCTGTAAACAACCCGTTGGTTTAGAAACTTGGCCTCCGAAGGAAAATTGCTTCATATATATATATATATATATATATATATATATATATATATATATCACCAATAAAACTATGGCAAGTACACATAGTTGCATGTGTAAATCACAAGAGCATATGAATGCAAAAATGCTCTTTTGCCTTTTGTAAACTCTTCCTTCTTGTAATACTTTTCTTCTATTCCAAATTGTGAGATACAACCCGAATTTCCTGACCAGAATTTCTTTTTTTTAATGTATCACTTCAGAGGAAGAAACCCTTATAAGGCCCTTTGCAAGAGCTGTTTTTAAAGGAGTAGTGACATACTGAAGGTAAGCATACCTGGGCACATTGCCCTTAGTTTTGCCAAAGCCGATCAAACATCCATTTTTTAAACCATAGGCCTTGTATGTTATAGTAATTACTACAAGTAAGGGAAATTAAGAGAGAGAAGGGATTCCTTTTAGGCAAAAAGTATTCAAAAGCTTACTAAGATGTGCAATTTGACAGTTCAGACCTTGGCAGCCTACTCAAAAACATTTTTTAGAGCCATCAATTCCTCTTCCTTTCCCAGAAGATCTTTGAAATGAGGGCGGCAAAAAAGCCCTTTCCTTATCTTTCGGCCTGCCATAAAAACAAAACAAAACAAAAACCTTGTAATTCGTGTGTGCTTTGTTTTTCTTTAGAAGTGCATATGATGTTCTGACAATGCCTTACTGTGCATTTCAGCCTCAAAAATGTTTCCACAAAAGTGACACTGGGTTGTGAAGAATAGCGTAACATCTGTTGCAGTCTATGGTATGAACAGCATAGCTTACAAAAAGAAAAAGGGGTACATTCTCCCTCCCCCCTCCTTTCTGAAAATTAAATTAAAATGTACAAGACCAAACACAGGCACTTTCCAAAAAGACACGACTGAAACCAAACGTTTTGACTTATTCAATAGTAATAGAGGAGAGCCCCGGTTTCAGGGGGTCCTCTCGGCTGGCCTCGGCGCCTGTGACCGTCTTTGGCTGCTCGGGCAGGTCTTCTTCCTTGTCTGCCAACCCACCCAGAGGCCCCAAGGGGAAAGTGCTCTCGCAATTCTGAGTAGACGACACCTGCGAAATGACAGGCATTTGGACAGAGGAGCTGCTCTCAAACCCGTGCTCTCCGAGCTCATACTGGCCGAGGGTCTCATCTTGTTCTTGGTTTAAGTAGTCCGGCACTAGGAAATCACTAGAAGGGAGGGCCAAAGGTCGGAAGAAATAGTTACTTGTTAGCAAATAATGTCGGATATACTCATAATAATGACAGCATTGCATACGGGAAACTTGTTCAACATCCTTGTCCTGAAAACCCTTGGGAAAGAATGCAACTAGCCTATATGGTGTGTCTAGTATGGGAAAGACCTTCACATTGCTCCATCTATTAATTCACCCCATGGGAAGAGTAAACACTATAGTTCAAGCATGGACAAACTTTGTCCATCCAGGTGTTTTGGATTTCATCTCCCACAATTCCTAATTCAATTGTGGGAATTGAAGCCCAAAGCACCTGGATGGCCAAAGTTTGCCCATACCTGTTATAGCTCTTTCTTTATGTCGTCCTGAAGCATTCTTTTAAGACGTCTGTGCTGACATGGAGAAGTACTACATTCTCCAATTAGAAGAGAATGCCATATCTAGACTAAAGGCTGAAAATGGCCCCTAAATTGAAGAAATGCAAAAATTGGAAGTACATGAGGAGATCTATTTGCATTTTCTCCTGGAGGTACCTTCATTTATTTTATGGATTCCAATTCTGACACCTCTCCAGGAGGCAAACCAGTAAGGTGATTGGCAAGTTTTACAGGTAAATGCCTTCATATGAGAAGGAAAGGCTGCCAACCTGAGCCTTCAAAAACACAACAAAGGAGGATTCTGAATAGATCAAGTAATACAGGTTGAGCATCCATTATTTGAAATGCTTAGGACCAGAAGTGGTTTGGATTTTGGAATATTTGTACATTGAGATATCTTGGAGATAGGACCAAGTCTGAACATGAAATTCATTTAGGTTTCATATACGTAGCCTGCAGCGAATTGTAAACATGGTGTTTTAAAAATAATTTTATGCGCAAACATGAAACCAAGCTTGCGTACACTGAAACATCAGAAAGCAAAGGTGTCACAGACAGAATGATAACAGATTACAATCTAGTTAAAATAAAATATAATAAAGAAGTTGTACGCCTCACTTATTTCAATGGAAATTTATATACCTAACATTTATGAGTCTAATTATCTCACTGAACAACCTTGGTTATATCTGTTTCTTTCTAAAACAAGTATGACTATTATTCCATGTTATCCACATTTAATTCCATTTCAAAAAACAGTATTCATGCATGCTAAAACTATTCAAACCAACATATATGTGGTGGACTGTTTTGTTTTATATGCAGGTTTTCAACCTAACATTAATACTGTTTAAATGCTTGTTAATACTCCCAAAGAGCAAAATGACTCGGTCTTCAATATGAAACAGTTTGAAAAGTAGCACATAAATTACTGACAATAAGAAAGCAATAGCCCACTGGATTGCAATAATCCGGCAACCGATTGGGGGGAAAAGATTACTGTAGGTTGCCCTAAAAGTGGGGAAGAGATGGTTTAGGAAAATAAAACATGTTTCCCTGGTAGGTTTTATTGCGGTGCACCTCACCTGCTCTGGAAGTAGTTTGCTAGCTCTGACGCTTCATGGTTCAGACTCCTCAGATGAACGATTAAATTTCCAGAGTTGGTGAACATGGCGCCACATGTTTTGCACTCGTAAATCCGAGGCTTGCGGATAATGTGCCGGGAAACCCGCATGTGGTGTTTATATTCCCCGAAGGAAGTGAAAGTGGCACTACATATCTGGCACCGGAAACAGCGTTTACCTTCGTGCTTCAGGCGATGCATCTTTAGCGAATACGCCCGGGTGAACTTTTTCCCACAACGGTCGCACTGAAAGGGTTTAATGCCTGGGGGGAGACAGGGAGGAAAGGAATTGACTCTGTGCACTGGAGAACTGCTTTGGGCAAAACTCCAGCTTCTATTGCGGACCTGAGAGCAGTTACACCCATCCACACAGAAGCTGCTATCGGAAACAAGGACTGACGAGAGAAAACTCTGCCAAGGCTTTAGACCAGCAGAAGCCGTTCCCAAAAAGCTGAGAATAAATGGTCGGTTTTCTGTGTTCACAGATTCAACTAAACACAGTTTGAAAATGTTCAAAAAAAGCAAACCTTGATTTTGCCATTTTATACGAGGAACGCCTTTTTAATGTGCCATTTATCTAAGGTGATTTGAGTATCTATGGATTCTGGTATCCAAGGGGCATTCTAGAATCAAACCCCAGTGTACACCAAGGGACCATCACAAGTCCAATGAAATCAACAGAACTTGTATCTGAATAAATATGCCTAGAATGGTTCTTTTTGAGGCCTTGCATTCTCCTTTGTCTAGCGCATCCCTGAAGCTTTTATGGTAGCGATGATGTAAAGAAAAACAAAACTATCCTTCTGCAGGGAAAGATTATTCATTCCTGGGGTTTGTCTGAATGTTTCTACTATATCTTTTGATGGCAAGGAAAGAAAAGGGCTGTGAGTGGGTTGCTAGGAAAATGACATCACCTGCTTTCAAACCACAGGGGCTTGACATCAAATTGTATTTTTCTGGAAAAACCACAATGAAGGTTCTTACCTGAGTGGATGAGCATGTGCTGTTTTAAATTCTGAATACGGGTGAATCGAACACCACAAGTTGGACACTGAAAAGGTCTATCAGGGCCATTTGGGCTGGGTCTCTCTGTGCTACTGGTTGAAGGTGCAATATAGAGCTGGTAAGGGTACTGGACATTTTCCAATCTGAAGATTCAAACAACAAGTCTTTTAGAAGCAAATCAAGGACAAAAAATATCATATTATATTGTGAAGCTATGTCGGAAATGACAGCTATTATATTAAAAATGGAAACAGAAATTCTGCAAAAATCTATGAAATGTGCAAAACCTCTAAGCCAGTGTTTCCCAAACTCTGGTCTCCCTGGTGTCTTGGGTTTCAGGTCCCAGCATCCCTGATCATTGGCAAATGGGGGCTGAAGTCTAAAACACCTGGAGAGCTAGAGTTTGGGAATCGCTGCTATAAAACAGTTTTACTTATGTTGGAATATATGAGAAAATTGATGAACAGCAAGTGGTTGATGTATGAAAAGAAACATAAAACACTGAGAAAATTACAACCAAAATTTGTTAAACATTTCAGAAAAGCAATGTATGCATATATACACAGATACCGTACGTATCATTTAGGAAGGATTAACAAAAATATAATGTGACCATAATGAAGTCAGGGATGAGATCAGAGTTTAAATCTTACTTCAAATCCAAATTACTCAAGAGTTCTTGAACAACTCATTATCTAAGTTTCACATTTAAAATAAGAACAACAATGATGTGCTTCACGGGGCTGGTAATATATGTTCTTCAAATTCAACCCAAGGTAGCTGATGTACAACTAACACAGAAGAACTGTGGCCCTTCAGATGCTGTTGGAGGACAATAACTAAAACCCATTATCACTGTTTGTGCCAGTTAGAAGTGATGGGAGTTGAAGACAAACAACATCTGGAAGGATAGACTTGCCCACCCCTAAAGTTCAATATAAGAAGATAATACAAAACAAAATATACATTAAAAATAACAAAAACATGCAAAGCTAACAGTTCAAAATAAACATTATTTCACAAGCAACACAACACAAAGTAACTCACTGGGAACCATACCGATCATCGTCATCTGCATGAACATTGCCACCAGAGGTACTTTGCAGGGTTGGCAATCCCTCAGTGACTCCTTCGTCTATTGAACCTGGGCAGTTAAATAAACAATAGAAATTAATCTTCAATGTAATTGATGTATTTATGCAGCAAGATTAGGCTCGGTACAACCTCCAACGCCATTTGGACTTGTCAATATGAACTATCAATGACTACTGCTTTGAAAGCATCAGAACTTCAAAAATGGGAGAGTACTCTCCATAAACTACCAAATTTAATTACTTAATATTGGCTTAATAAATAGTTCAAAGGGGCTCACAAGTACTGGGAAATATTGCAGTCCGTTTCATTTGACTGGTTCACACATTAAGATTATTCTTGGGTAGATTAGGATATATATATACATGTACAATTGAACATAGCACTGAACAATACCACCCAGGAGAAAGTATCCATAGAAGTAGTGTTCAGTTTATCTCATATTGAGTGATCTTCTAATTCTAGACCCCACAGCATCACCTTACAAATCTATACATTCTGGAACAGTCCACAGCTAACTACAATGGTTAGAGAATACGAATCTTGGAAACTAATACACTGATCAGCATATTCAGGTTTTCATCACTTGTGCTTCATGAGCACAAAATTATAGAATCATGGATTTGGAAGAGATCCCAAATGTCACCTAGTAAAATCCTGCCACCGAAGCACTCCCAACAGATGGCCTTCCAGCCTCTGTTTAAAAACCTTCAGAGAAGGAGATTACATCAGACTCTGAGGATATGAATGCTACCATTGAACAACTCCTGGTGGCACAATAGGTTAAACCATTGTGCCGAAATGACTGAAGACCGACAGGTCAAAGGTTCAAATCCGGGGAGAGCATGGATGAACTCCCTCAATCGGTATTATTTGCGGGGACATGAGAGATGCCTCCCACAAAAAAGGTAAAACATCAAAACATCTGGGCATCCCCTGGGCAACATCATTGCAGACAGGCAATTCTCTCAGACCAGAAGCAACTTGCACTTTCTCAAGTCACTCCTGACACAAAACAACCTGCCATATTTAGATAATGTCATAACTATTAAAAATAGCATACAAGTGGGATTCTTTTTAGAATAAACAATTGTATTTTTGTCTTTGAAATACGTGTAAGTAAAATCTGCATTTAGTCAGGGAAGACTAAAAGAGATGACTGAAGAATGAAAGGACAGACTATTAAAGATCTTACAAGGAATGTTACAATGATCATAGTTACCTGTAATTAGTTATTAAAGTTTCAGTGCTAGATAACAACGGTGACGTTTCAGTTAAAAAAATAATGCAATTATTAGAAACAAATTAGTTATTGATGTAACAAGCAACATTTGCTATGGCAGTGGTTCTCAACCTGGGGTCCCCAGATGTTTTTGGCCTACAACTCCCAAAAATCACAGCCAGTTTACCAGCTGTTAGGATTTCTGGGAGTTGAAGGCCAAAAACATCTGGGGACCCCAGGTTGAGAACCACTGTGCTATGGAATTCCAAACATCACACTTAAAAGGATGTTTAGGGCATTCTGACAACATTGTTTCAATTGAACTCTGGCTTTTTTTAAAAAAAAGTTAAGTAACAAAAAGGAACAAAGAATTCAAGAAGTAACATAGTAACCTAATTTCCGAACCACTGTAATGAACAACTGATTACCTCCTACCCTGTCAAAAAGGAAGGAATTATGCAATTTGTAGCTAAGAAGTAAAAAATATGTTTTGTGTTCCTTTGCTATATTTCTAAAAAACAAAACAAAAACCCAAACAATTTTCTACACGCATTTCCATTTGCAGTAAAAGTACAATGGGATATATAAAATAACTCTATAAGTAGCCTGTTCTTTGACTTGATGGGTGAAAGAATATTGGCACACTTGGAAAACCTAAAGAGTATGAACACAGCTTTTTCAAGTGATAGGAATGGAGACCAGCCAATTCTAAGAGAAATCTGTCAGCCAATACAAAAAGCAAAACAATGGTCCACAGACTGGAAATGTTCAATATAAAATGTGATCCCCAAAAAGATGACACCAATAATTGTAACAACTATCAATCTATTATATCATTGCAAGCAAAGTGATATCAATTTTTTTAAAATGTCAAAAATCTTTGAGATATGTCCGATATCCAAGCTGGAGTCGGAAAAGGAAAAGACACTAGAGAGCATAATGCAAACATGTTGGCTAATGGAGTAGGCCAAAAAAATTCTGAAGGAAAGCAAGCTATACTTTATTAGATTACAACAAAACTTTCAGCTGTGTGCATCATGAAAAACTGTGTCAGTTTCCCCTTAAATATGGCCATGTTTTGCCTGAGCTCCCACTTCCATGTGTTTAAGGGCATGGGTTAGATTACACCACTCTAGTGAACCCATTTCTTGCTAAGGGGTTGCCAGAAAACAAATTCTGGCTTTTCTACTAATGTATAAACCCAACTCATGCACTTCTGGAAGATTAGGTATAATGTGCCTAGAAAGATAATGAGTAACATTCACATTTGTGTGCCTTCTATTCAAAGAAGTATATGAAAATTCTGCTATGTGAAGCAATTCACTTCGAGCAGAGCTACTACCAATATAGAATGTCAACATAAGAGCTATTCAAAGCATGATGTAAAAATAGCAACAGAAATATGTGGAAGCACTGTTCCTGCTTCCTTAAAGCAATGATGCAGCTAAAGTAGTATGGCAGCATGGCTCAGCTATTTCCTCCCTAAAAGGATCAAGGCAGTCACAAATGACAACCTTCCTCTTAGAGCAATGCTTTCTAAGGCTTCATGGGAATGACAGTTCAGATGTGATTAGTATTTAGTTTAATCTGGTTTATCACTATTATCCAGGATTTTGTAAGCCACAAGAGAAGGAAATCTATCACAAAAAGCAGCATTCATTTCTGTGGAAATATGACTAGATTTTGAAGTAAAATACTGAAGTGGTAAGAATGATTTTTAAAACAGATCAATGCCAACATTGCTATGAAAACATACTTGGCTGAAGCACGTTGAAACACAATGTTTCTATGACTTTTTTGTTATCTTTTTTAAAAGTCAAGAACTAGAAATATTCACATAACAAGAACCTAAAGTCCTTGAACACATTTTCCAATAAAAAAACATACTTTGATACACATAGACATAAGGGACTCTACCTATAGAAGATGACTGTGGGCTGATCAAAAGGTCCTCTTGGACTTGTTCACTTCCCGGGACTGTCTGTTGATCACTCAGTGAGCTTTGAGATGCACTCACAGGCTGCGATACTTCCTCGTGCACTTCTTCATCACTTAACCGTTCCACTTTTACCCGCACATCCTCTTCAATCACCAGAGGGGAGCTGGCTTTTGTGCTTTCACAAGCCACATAATCAGCAATTCTCCGAGACGCATCAGATGGACCAGGCACTTCCAGAGTCCGAGAATTGTCTACTTGTTTCACTTTCTCTGACTGAAGTCGTCGGTCAATTCCAAAAGGAAACGTCCAAGGAAAAGCCAAGGAAGAGTCTACAGGGTGACTTCTAGGCTCTGCATATGAAGCTGAAGGGTTCAGAACCTGTGGAGAGTTTGTCTGGGTGCTACATTTAAGGGGGCTCTCCGGCGACATTACAATGTAGCTTTTGCGTTTCCGCCGTGACTCTCGACACACAGGAATGGCTCTTTCTACCACGCTGCATTCTGAAGAGACAGGGGAAAGGCTGCCGTCATGAGAGGTGAAATTGCAATTTGCACTATTCTCCTGTCCCGTATCTAACACCTTTTCTTGTTGGCTGCTTGGAGTATTCCACAAAATGCTGGACTTCATGAACTCAGAACAGGTGCTAGCGACACTGAACATTTGCATATAGCTAGCTGCAGCCAAGACATCTATAATGTTTTCGGTGTTAATAGACAACGTTGCTGTGTACGCATATTCCAGAAGGGGCATGAATCCCGTCACTGTCACATGATGTAGGTCAAGGACATTTTTGCTGTCATCGTCCGCTTGACCAACCAACTTAGAACGAAAGAAGTCACTGCAGGCTGCCAACACCACCTTGTGCGCTCTGAAGATTTTGTCCTGGACGCGGATAGTAATGTCGCAAAAATGTCCGTCATTCCGTAACATGTTAAGTTTTCCAAGCATCTCCTGACTGTGAGCAGGGGAATTGTGGGTAAATGTTTTGACACCCATATTTTCCAGACTTTTTGGGCAATATCCAAAAAAATAAAAGATCAAAGTGGACCTAAGAGGAAAAAGAAATCCAATGAAGAAACCAATTTCCAAAATAATGAATGTCATTATAATATATATTAATACATTTACTCAGCACTTAGGAATTCATCAGGAAACACCCCACTAGTATATACTCAAGCCCAACTCCAAAAACATCCTGGCCAGTCCTATAATTTCTATCCTGTTACCAACTTGCGAGCAAGTACTTGCAGAAAAGACAGCCATACAAGGATGAAATACTTGGTTCTAGCTGGCAAAGGAAAAGAGAGGGTTGATGTTACAAACAAATACAAGTACTCTAGTGGCAGTCTATTCCTTATGAGAAACTAGTTGCTACATTAGTGAAATACTGAAAATTGTGACCTTTTTATTTCTGCTTTCCCGTATTGCAGATTATTTCAAGAGAAAATAATGTATGTTCTGATGCACAAAATCAAATTAGGAGCATTACAAATATCACATGGTTCATCTATTTGAATTATTAGAAATGATAAAAGAAAGATGAACAATTTAACAAGGCAAAGTCTCAATATATAAGATGTCTGAATCATTCCACATTCTACAAAAATAAAACACAATGTTTTTCAATGAAAGACAAACTGGAAAGCTATTTTCACTGTATAGGCAAATCAATGTTCAGAGCTCCTGTTGGCTAGTATAAATTAATTTTTAAAAAACCTACACTAAACCCAAAATATTGCTGAAAACTGCAGTTTTGGGCCTCTTCTAGTTAATTTTACACCCATCAACCAATGGCTTGGATCTAAAGGGACCTTCATACAAGATATTTTATATCATTCATACCATTATAATAGCTATGAAATTTATAGAACTAGAAGAGTCCTCAAGGGCCATTCAGTCCAACCCCCTTTTGCAATGAAGAACTAATATTATGGCAGTTGATTGTTTTTATCTCCATGTAATATAATCATATATCTTAAAGGGTCTCCTTTGCAAAGGTTTCGCCTGTATAATTAAAGCAGAATTGGATAGTGTTTATTTTTCTTATTTTTCTGCCACTCATTCCCCCACCCTCTGTATTCATGTATCTATTTTGGAATAACTTGTGTCTTCAAACTAACATTTGAAGTAATTTTGAAAGGAAATAATGAACACATCTGTGGGTTAGAATCTAATAATGGACTCCTGCCACAACAGCACAATCCATGTGATTATTAGATTCAGGCTACTCTGAAATAGTCTATCCTTTTGTAGTCAACACAGGCTGCGCATTGTCAACTTGAAGGGAAGTCCCATGGGTTCTGTCCTGATGAACAAAACTGTTGTTTGCTTTTCTGAAAACCAGAGTGAAGAGTGTTTTACAAAGAAAAGCTAGATTTTCTCAGTGAAATACATGTTCAGGGAACCATAGCTACCAGAACACAGTGTAATGTATCCATAACACTCGATTAACGTAAAGCTTATATTCTGGAACACAAACAGTACATATACTTCAGCTACATGCTAATATGATTTCTGAGTATGGATTCAAGCTTGGCAAGTTGTATTAATGCCACAGACACTACCGAATGTCCTACTTATTCTCCTTCCCCATTTTCTGTGCAGCCAAATTGGAGTGCCACTTGCTTCAGGAAACAGAGAAGGAATATGATAAGCAGTAAGGAAATAAAACTCCTTGTTGAGCCCACTGTTGTTAGAAGATGGGTTCACTTCTCCATATTGTGATCTTGCAATCTCTATGCCAGACATATCCAGCAGTAACTACAACTAGTATGCCTGCAAATAACTTATTACTACTTCTCAGTTCCAGTGGGGAGAGTCCCCTTGGGGCAAGGGACTACTGAAACAATTTCACTTGACTGAACATTTCTCAGTCAGAACACAATCCACTATCTTTAAAAATATTTTAATCCTCTAAACCAGGGGTCCTCAAACGTTTTAAACAGAGGGCCAGGTCACAGTCCCTCAAACTGTTGGAGAGCCAGATTATAATTTAAAAAACAAAAACAAAACATGAATGAATTCCTATGCACACTGCACATATCTTATTTGTAGTGCAAAAAAACCCCACTTTAAAACAATATAACAATTAAAATTAAGAACAATTTTAACAAATATAAACTTATTCGTATTTCAATGGGAAGTGTGGGCCTGCTTTTGGCTGATGAGATAGGGTTGTTGTTGTTGTTGTTGTTGTTGTTGTGTGCTATCAAGTCATTTCAGCCTTAGGTTGACCCTGAGTGAGGGCCAGGTAAATGACCTTGTAGGGTCGTATCCGGCCCCCGGGCCTTAGTTTGAGGACCCCTGCTCTAAACTGTTCACAAAATCTCTGTTCATAATAATAAAGTACATAAAGGTGACATATTTCTACATTATCAAGTCATGCCGATTATTCCTTATCTGAAATGCTTGGGACCAGAAGTGCTTTGGATTTAATTCTTTTTTGGGGGACTGAGAAATATTGTGGTCTTTGCATATATGTACATTATTTATTTACATTTATATGCCGCCCTTCTCTCCTCGAAGGGGACTCAATGAGGTATCTTGGAGCTGGGCCCCAAATCTAAACATAGAATTTATGTATGTTTCATACACCCCTTGTACACATACTCTGAAGGTACTGTTATACAATATTTTAATCATTTTGTGTATGAAACAAAGTATGCATATATTGAACCCTCAGATAGCAAAGGTGCGGCTATCTTAGCCACCCAAGTGGACAATGCCAGGTTACATTTACAGATAAGAAATACTCAGCCTGTAACAGAAACCAGTACACTATCAATCAAATTAACAAAGGCACACAAATGTGACAACCACCCTTTTAATACTCATCAAAGCTCTAGTTGATATAGAATTCTTTTGGACAGCTGACAACTAGGCCTCACTGAAAAAACCCCAGATTGCAGTGGCTGTGCCAAAGCAGTTGCTGTCCGAGACCTCAAAACCCAATGTCTTTATTCCAATAGTCTTCTATCTGAGAAGAGCAAAAAATAGCCTGTTTCTCTCTATGAAATAGTATCACAATCCAACAGAACTTAGAATGACTGAAAGGTACCTGTGATAATTTGAAATAATAACAAAAGATTCATTAGGTAATTCAATCTCCAATTTAAAATTTCATGATTTCTGTATACTTAAACACTACCATAGTACATCATTAGTAGTTATTTCATGTTGAAGTAATGGAATTAGGAACTGGGATGATATAGAATTAAAATATTTTAATATTATCTTCCTCAACTCTTTATCTCAAAGCTGTAAGAATCCCAATCTGAAGTAAACAGTTTTGGATCCTTAGTCAGGCAAAGATACTGCAATCTAACCTGGCATATAACCAAAATACATAATGCTTTCGCAGTTCAATGGACTTGGCTGGGAAGACAACTGAGACTACTTCCAAAGCAAGGGTAACTAATCCGTTAACATGGAGTGAAAGGCAGGAAAAAGGCACTGCTCTTCAGAAACTTAAGCACAGCAAGATGGCAACTTTCCCAGTGGTATTTCTTGAAACAGTAAAGAAGCTACAAGAGATGAGTCGACAATATTTGCAAGGGCTGGAGGAGTTTTAATCCCTCCATCCGATACTGTGGCTGCTTTCAGTGATAGCCATGGGTTTCTAAATATAGCACAACTTTCTATCCAGAGTGGACATCTAAGGTCAGTTTCTTAAGACAGTCTTACTGAAAGATGCAAGTTTGGAGATAAATGGTGTTTTAAAAAAAGCTGTAATAAGATAAATCTTACTGGCTCTTTGTTACTTATGCAGAGTTAAGTTGCCTAATTTCTACTGAAGATCAGTGGATCTACTCTCTTTCATATAATATCTTCCTTAAGATGTTACCATAACAAAGTTTAGAAAAACATAGAATGACTATGTACAGTATATTAAAGTAATCAAAATGAATTCATATTGATCTTTTCAACAACAACACTGTAGAAGCAGCAAAACTCTCACCGCCTACCAAGAAGAAAGGCTTGCTGAGCTTACTTCTCAAGCACATGTACCAGAAAGAAAATATTACAGTAATGGTAGGTAGCTATCCTGAATTCATAGTAATTCTATCTTGTTTCATTCTGGTATATATTACTTTTGAAAATATAGCAAAAATTGAATTCTTCTTTAATTAAGATCTATTTCTTTAAAAACCCACACTAAAACTTCTCAATGTGAACTAGTGCTAGTGTTCAGAAGCTCCAGAGTTCAGAAGACTTGTTTCAATTGAAATTGGAGTCTAAACTATTTATTTCTAGTTTTCCAGCAGATGCAGAAATCTAAGACAATGAGTTGAGATTGTGGTTCATAGTACCTTCTGTACCATATTGTAGAAAGAATATGATTAGCAAACTCCATGCTTCGTTCATGGACCGAATACCACTGTATTTTATTTGTATACTATAACATTGAAAGCAACTTAATAATTGTGTAGCAGCAATTTTGTAATTTCTAATAATGCTAACCCTTTAATCTTACATCTGAAACTTGTACCAGCAATATACTGTAACCTGATTTAACCCCTCCAAAAAAGTCTTCAACTTTCTATTTCATGCTTTTAAATAACCTGTTTTTTTCCTGGGATTTTCTCACTGTTACATATTGTATCACTACTGTTCCGAAGTCTCCAAGGTGTATATGTCTTCAATAACCCACCCATTTACTTACTTAAGCCATTTCTTTTAAAGGAAGTGACTTTCAGGAATTTTGCTCAAGTTTAAACAAGACAAGCATCTGGTACAATCCTTACCTTTCTACAATGACTTAACTGTACACTGAATCACTTGTCTGAATGCTATTCATTGTCTGTTGAGCGCCATCCTCCTTAAACAAATCAAGTGTTGCATTAATACCCCCGGAAGTCACTCAAATATGTATTGAGATCATTTGCTTGCAATACAATACACATTGCATCTTTTCCTCGAAAAATATGGACATATTTGAAAACACAGGTAATTTTTTTTTAATGAAACCCTATTCATTACAAGATAACTTCAGTGGCTCTCCTGACATAGTGCTGTTTCCCCTGCACGGTGAATGCAATTACACTAGCA